GTAAGGTTGGCGCCATGCAAAATTCGAGCAAAATTTTTTCCCCTAATTTTTTAATATGATCCGATGCAGTTCGATGCGCTGAATCCGAATATGTATAATTCATTTACATAAAAACTGATCTTCAAGTCAAAAATCGAAAAACACGCCTAAAATCGATGGTCCCAGAAAACCGGGTTTTCTACTAGGATTTTGATGACAGGGTTTCGAAAAATTTTACTATAGTTTTGAAAGTTTTTTCTCCTGATTCAGAATCAAAAACTGATTCTAGGAGACTAGTTTTTGATCCCTCAGATCGTATCTTTATCATTAAAAAAGTTCGTTTCTGTGTATAGACCGACTGGTCGAGTGTATCGTCTTAAAAATGCATCAACTCATTTTCTATTAAAGATAGACACTTTTTTCTTTCACCGTTCGACTTGTTAGATGCCCCAGATATAATCTTCGTATCCTTTTCCCTTAACCCGCTTTCTTTCTCAAGATTTCCTGGTTTTCTTCCGACGTATCCGAACAAAATTTTTTTTAAATTTTTTAATAGCTTTTTTCACTTAGTTTTGTTCTCTAACCATATTATATGTTTAGAATGATAAACATCTCTATGATGATCACTTAGATAACCTATCGAACTGTTCTTTTTTAGTATCCGTGGTCATGCCTGAGTTGGTTCTGAAACTATATTTTTGATTAACTTATAAAAACGCCTTTGAAATAGAAAATCTAACCAATTAAGAAGAAAACATTTTTTTCTAGTGGATAAACGATAAAGATAAAGTTTATTTTGTCGATAGAAACAAAAATAATCAGTCATCCAACTTAGAATTGGTGATTTGACGATGTGAAACGACGTTGGCTTTGCAAATTGAGCTAAAATACATTTTCAGAACATCTTTATAAGAATCGCCACGTTCATATGCTACTAAACCTTCACTATGCTTACCACTTCTATTGTCCACCAAAAGTTCGTCTAAATCTTGTTCAATTAGATTTGCGCTGCTTTTATGGCATGTTTCGGCAGTAAGCGCACCAATATCTTTTGAAAATGAATCGATTTCTCGCCGAGGTATACCGAAATACATTAATGATAAGAAAACTAACATAGACAAGGACCGCAAAGAAGTTTCTTGTTTGATAATTTCAAGCAAATTTCCAGTATTCAAAACACTAATTTTGTTGTTAAAAAAGTCTTCCTGTTTATTATCTTCATTTAACTCATCCACATTGATAGCACTTCCCACGTAGAAAACTTCTTCTGATCGGTCAATATTTTCCTTTACCCAACGATTTCTTAGAGCAGCTACTGATTGACCTATCTTCTTTTCGATCTTGGAGGCATAGTGATAAATAACAAAAATTACAAGACCAAACGGTTTCGTAATAATAACGGGCGGATGCACTTCTATGTGGATACTGTACAGACCAATAGATAACCAAAATATCATTAAAAGACTATTCTCCGAAGAGAACGCTAAATATTATTATAATTCTACGGAGCACAGAAAGACTACAACTGAACATGGATACTAAAAAAGAACAGTTCGATAGGTTATCTAAGTGATCATCATAGAGATGTTTATCATTCTAAACATATAATATGGTTAGAGAACAAAACTAAGTGAAAAAAGCTATTAAAAAATTAAAAAAAAATTTGTTAGGATACGTCGGAAGAAAACCAGGAAATCTTGAGAAAGAAAGCGGGTTAAGGGAAAAGGATACGTAGATTATATCTGGGGCATCTAACAAGTCGAACCGTGNGCAATGACGTCATCGAGAACGGTGATTCGATTTCACTCATTGAGTGATCATATTCAAATGAACTCGTATTCGATCATATTGATCAATAATGATGCTATATGAGCCATTCTCATGCTCAATTACTGACGTCTGTTCAACTTTGTCTTTTTTCTTTTTTCTGCTCAATCTCATGCTATTTATTCTTCTATTGTTCTAAGCGTCAGTAGCGACTGATTTTCTTGTGCTCAAGAGTGTCCCTCAATTGTGGATTTTTCTCAACGAAATTTACTATCCTTTACGTTGCACACTCTAATCTGTTTGTTTTCGGAGTAGCTGCCTGATTTGAGTTACTGAAACGACTTCTGTAGCTGAGAGCTCTTTTTTCACTTATCATTTTTGTTTATTCTCTAATTGTGTGTCGAAATTTCGATAATCGTGCGTCTCAATGAAATGTATACATGAACGTTTATTTGACTGATCTGAGCTATACAGTTCTAGTCATTCTCTTACAAATGTATAAACCCATACAGCATATCATTTGCCAAATCGACCAATCGTTTTGTAGCCCGTAGAGCCACTCGTGCTTTTCCAATAACGGAAATCGTACTGCTAGTCAAAGACTAGACTCGGTTACACTCATGAAATCAAAACGACCAGTTGATATACCACAGATAATAAACGATGAGCAATGATCGACTCGAAATCTATAACAATATCACATGAATTGGAATCATAAAAACAGCAGAACTTACTCTGCCCAGCTGGCAACTTTCTATTTCGTGGAATAAGTTATAGTTTTTCTTCGATACAGTTACGATATCGATTCATAATGATAGACATTGCATGTACTCCTGTTTTTTAAAGCAACCTTCCTTTTTTCCTTTTTCTTGTTTCTTCACTTTTCTGCACGAATTTCAAATTAATATGATTTATGCTGTTCGAATATCTAGTCTGATAATGGACCCTCTGCCCCACACGTACCTCTCAATTGAAATCGCGATATAAAATCATTTATAAACAAACCATTTCAAGGTCCAAAGTCGAAAAAAATCTTCTTTTCTAACACATCCTGAAGTTTTCGATCCAGATTCTCTGTGTTCGATATTCATCTCTGCGTGATGGATTCAATGAAGAAAATATCCGCACGATGAACGTGACGATGCCTTTCTTCGCTTTCTCGAAACAAACGCATCAAGCAAATTACCAAGAAGGTCGCCATGTCCACCTCGTCAACACTAATCAGCCTGATGTCCCTTGATGATGAAGTCTGCTTAGTAAGACATTGTGCTTCTTGTAGTCCGCACAGGGAAAACAATAGTGATATACAAGTGAAAAGAAAGTGCGTGAAATAGGATGAAAGAGATCGTCCATATTTGATCTAGATTCAATTTTCATCCTGCAATGAGAGTGCTATCTGTTTGTCCTCCTGATGAGCAATGTTTATGGTGTCAATGTGTGATGGCATGAGTAAAAATAAAATTTGCAATCATTTTCTGCCGATACAGTTATTCTCTCAAGTGGGAGAAGCGCAGTTCAACACACAAGGCTAACGGAGTAGAGTGCGTGATCGGATCAGTCATTATCGACTTCATAGTCTGCCACAAGTAAGAATAGTTGATCATTTGATAAACATACGGGATGCGAAGTCAACATCTCTCAAACTGATTCGGTGGCAGGGTATTGTGTTTAGTAGATGAGAGTGGTAAACACTCTCGTTGCTCTTTTCTTTTGCAAACAAATCGATCACGCCGATTGAAATCGATATTGAAGTGCATACAACAAATCCATCATAATGATCAGCTCACGGTCGCTAAGTTCATGCATGGTTCCACACCTTGCAACTACATCCTATCACCGAGGCATAGACCCAGTACAAAGATCAGTCTTAGAATCCCAGCCATTTGTAATGGTATCGCTGCCTGTTCTCTCTCCTTGCTCTACTGGCAATTCTTCAATAATAAATGCGAGACGTCTATGCGAACTATGTCGCCGTAGCATGTTTGCGAGACTCTAATCAGAACATGAACAGCGTCCGAATTCTCTTTAGGTTAGCTCAAAGATCAACAATATCACACTGGCTATTTCTGAAGAGCTCAGAGATCACAAACAATCAAACATACACATCCCAACACGAAATTACTTTCAACCATACCCAGCACACGACACAGCAAACGTCGCCTCTATTAAAGCCTGTAAACTATCATTGGCTTTTTCGAACTGCCAATCCATCGTCTCTACAAAACTTATACCATTATAAAAGAAAGCAAATAAACAAACAAACACGAAATGAACGGAAATCAGGTTCTATGGAAATCCGACAATAGGAATTTCGCCAACTGAATTTGGACAGTGTCCAAATTACGATAGAATTTCGACAATTGTCCAAATTCTACCGGAGGTTCGACAAAATTGTCCAATTTACAGCGTTGTCCAAATTCCTGAGGAATAA